CGACCAACCTTAAGGAGGGGCTGCCCTAGCATATTGTTGATGTTGCCAGTTTGTGACCGGGCAACTCTCGGTTAAAGATAGTTATTGTTGTGGGACACCTGGAACACATCCTTCTCGGGGTGTAGATGACCCCGAGCCATAAGCGACAACAAATGTGATTCAGTGTCCTCAGCTGTTTAGTCTATCTTTTGAAGAATGTTGATTATTACACTCTGAACTACCGGTAGTTAAAACATTGAGCTACAGAAGAGTTCTTCAGAATTCAATTCAAAACCTTTATTTATTCAGGTGAAAACCCATTGAGATCATTGACCTCTTTTTCAATGGTGACCTGCTGAAATTGATTGTGGCATCTCAACCGTGTGGTCAACTCGTGGCCCGTGACATGTCTTGTGAATTCTCCGGCCGAAGCTCCAAATAAACAGTCAGTGTTTGCCATCAAAGCTCCAGCTCTCCTCGTGTCTCTCTGAGTCCTGACTCCAATTGCTTCAGAAGTTTCCCCCACAATTACAATAAGTACTATTTGACATTATAGCCCAGGTTTAACCCCACCTAAATAATAATAATAATAAATGGGATTTATATAGCGCTTTTCTAGACCCAAAGACGCTTAAAGAGGGGCATCCACTCTAATCTCAACATGCCCTGGCAGTGTTTATCCACATGCGACCTGAGAGGTGTTTGTGCTGCCATTTCGTCTGATATTGAGTGAAACAGAAGTGTGAACAGGCTCCGTCATAGAGATTCGCACCTTGTCGTAAACGGTATATCTCAACAGGGATTGTATCTGAAAAGGGTTCAAACAAGGACCCTTTGCTGCTAGTATTCTCTTTTTTGATTGCTTTGCTGTGAATAGTGTTTTGAGGAAGATGAATCAGTGTCAGCCGGCCTCTCAGTTCTTGCCCTCTCTGTATTTGGTTTTGTGTTTCTCTTCTCTTTTTCCTCTTCCGTTCTCATATTTCCGCCTCTGACTTTCTCTGACTATGCAGTTTTGTGTCTCTCATGTGAATGCATTGTCTCCTCTAAAGGGCACAGTTGGATATTTTATAGTGTCCATTGCTGCTGAAGGAAGAAAAGCTATACTGTAGCCTATAATACACATAACAGAACATAATACATCAATGGAAATAGACTGTTAAATTAAACCCAAGGTCTCCTGATTGTTATATCAGTAACTGAAGGTGTGTGTAAAATAGTTAGCAATGTCATTTGTGAAAAATAGGAGATCTTTGCATGTTAATATAACTATTTCAATCTCAAAAAAGGGCGTAATCTGTACTCTGAAAAGCTTGCCCACCGTCTTGTATTTACTTGAGTATCCCCAGACCCTCTGTATGTGACCTCACTTTATTTCAATATTTTACGCATTGGCAAAAATATGTTTAGATAGATTTAGTTACCCCAGCAAGTCTAGCTGTTTCCCCACATTTTCAGACGTGGTGCTAAGTAAAGCTACCTGGTATTTTGAGCCTGACTAATAACCTCTCGAAAGAAGGTTTATAAATGTAATTCCTAAAATGCTACTGTTAAAACCCTTTCTGTTGCTTTCAAGAAGGATGACAATCAGCTAAACTGGCTTACTGACTTGTCTGGACTGTCATCTGACCTTATCATGTTTACCTTTGCATCCAATGAAATGATGTTGATTCTTTCCCCCCGCTGAAATCATTAATCAACATAATTCTCTAATATGTTGCACTTCTATCCTCTTATTTAGCTGAACAGCATGCGCATAGTTCAGAGCTGAATTTATCTCTTGTAACCCAAGCCCCAGTTATGGCCTCATGTTGTTTTATGCGTCAGCCTCAGCCTTGTTTGCATCTACCTTATGGTTGCTGTTAAATCTAAATAAAGACTTCATTAAAATATGTTTTTAATGAGTCTTTTGGGGCGGTCGCAGCTTTATGCAAGAGCCGTGCTCACACTGCCAGGATGCCAGGCCTGTTTCCTCTCCTACTCACTGTAACACCTGACAGTACTTTACATTAATTTAGCTTCTTTTTTAAGTTCAAATGAAATTGTATTTACAGTATGGTTAATGGTACAAAAGATATACAAAGTAGAGATAGAATTGGAGGGATGAAACCCTCTTTTATGGTCACACATGCAGAGCACACAGCACACACAGTGACATGTGTTCTCTGCCTTAACCCATCCTAGCAGTACTGGGTATTCATATATGAGGAAGGGTCAGGTTTTTGCACAGCATTGCATGACAAAGGCTCCTTCCTTCTTCAGCCTTTCCTTTGCTCACACCTCATCTCACTGCTTGCTTTGTTCTGCTGCAGAAATCTCTCAAAGCTTTCACAGGTGGCTGCAGCCTTGATATGAATATTTAATAGTCCCCATATATCCCCCTTGAGGATGGTGAAATATTAAAGTACTTTTTGGTGGCTGTTCTAACTTCTCGGATGCTCCAAAAAATGTAATTCCTGTTGGCAAGGGAAACACATTGTGACTCTACCAAAATGTTTTCATTGTATAATGTGCGATGTTATTTCCTGCTTTAGGCAGTGTCGATTTGTGTGAGTGTGCCACATACATATGAATGATCTGCTGGAGGTTCATTAATTGAATCTGTGAATATGCAAATATCGAGATGGTTAAGATCTGAAAGGAAGCAGCTGGTTTTCTATTTTCTAACTGTTAGGGATTCATTTTGTCTTTACTCCTAGACATTTAACCTATTCTGTGTGTTGACATTTACGACCATCCCTGCTTCTAATCTCCCGTAAGGAATGTGTTAATGCAGTCGTATGTTGATACTAGGTTGTATGGCCTGACCTGGTGGGCACAGGGGGGGTTTTACGACTGTGAGAACGCTGGCTTTCTAAGCTCCACAGATGTGAGAGACTTGTGATATGAATTCCTCCGGCCGATGCTTGTATTAAAGATCCATGTTTGACATCAGAACTCCTGCTCGTCCCGTGTCTCCTTCATGAGTCGGTGACTCCCACTGCATTGCTACACAGAAGTTTCCTCCACACTATCCTTCTCTCTTTATTGTCCCTCATTATGAATCATTTCTCTTTCAGCGGGACGCCAAGGGACAGTACCTGTTCGACGTGATCTGCCACCATCTCAACCTGCTGGAGAAAGATTACTTTGGCATTCGATATGTTGATCCAGACAAGCAGAGGGTAAGGATTCTATTTTCTATTTCATTTGTTCAGTTTGAATCAATTCATTTTAATGCGTGACATTGTGACATATCATCATTTGCTTCTTTCTGGCATCTTTCTTTCCTCCTTTCGTTTCCGGTTTCCTACTTTTCTTCGGTCCCATTACTCTCTTTTCTTTTGTTGGTTTCAAGTGTCATTCTTTCTTCAAAGATATCTGTCATTTGTTTCCTTGAATTAAAACTACTTCACCCAAACTGCATAATTTGCCTGAATGAATTATAGCAAACCATAATGTGCACCAAAGGTTCACAGAGCAAATCACTTAGTCTGTAAAAAAACATTTGAATGTGTTGAAAGATAATCTAGCATTGTGTTCCTTTTGAGGATGATCGCACTCTTCAAATGTTAATCCTAAAAGGTTGAATGAAACCCTGTGCAGCAATGGTGGCACATTATCCCAGTCAGTCTTGACCATCTCTACTTTAGAAATCTGTAGATCACCTGGAGGAGCTGATATTGTCTCACAGGCAGTGATGGATGTGTAAAGTATACATGCCAGGTCTTACTCATCTAGTGAGTCTTTTTTCTCTAGATAAATTAATATATGCAGGACAGGTAGGTTAGCCTGCAGGTCAATTATGCAAGCTGGCAAAAGGCCATACTCCTCACTCAAAAAGGAATATCTATCACATTAATCAACACAGTTCTTGGTGGATTTGCATTGCTGACCAATTATCTGTCAATTATTGCAATATCGACTGTGGATGCGATTCAAAAATGCTTTCAAGGCTTGAAGTTGTTTTCTAAAATGCAAAGGGGATCTGAAGAGTGGATGACAGACATGTTATGAAAATGTGAATGCAGGTGTTCCTAAAAAAGTTAATAATTAAAAGCAAGTAGCATCGTTGTGTTTTGCAATGACTGCGAGCGCAATGCACCATTATTCTCAGCGTGTCATCATCTCACTGATTAGAGTTTGGTCTCTCGATGTTGAGCACTCTGACGGAGAACAGCAGTCTCCTGATTATCCTTCATCGCCTCCCTGCATGGAGACGCTGTTGAAGGGGGTGTAAATGAAAAGGAAGCAAGGAGGTGAAAGTACTTCCACTGTGCCTTCCAGCTATGGATTACACATCCTCATGCTCAGCTGCTGAGCAATCAGAGTTCAGGCTGAGAGTTTAGCACCCACAGAGTCTTTGTCCAGGTCTTTACCTCTTTCTCTTTCTCTCTCTTTCAGCATTGGTTGGAGTTTACAAAGTCAATTGCCAAACAAATAAAATGTAAGTATATAATTCGACACACCTCATTAGTTGGTTAAGTAAAAAACATACAAGCATAAATGTGCTTAATATACTCTGCAAATATTTCCGAAATAATGAGCCACCAGTCCTACCAACCAAATTAAAAACAAAGCATTTCATTTTAAATGTTTGTCTTTCTTCCTCAGCCCAGCCTCCGTTCACCATGTGTTTGCGAGTCAAGTTTTACCCACCTGACCCCGCTGCCCTGAAAGAGGAAATCACCAGGTAAGATTTCAGGATCGCATGATGGGCTGCAGGTGGGGTTAAGTCAAATGTATATCTGATTTGATTTGCCTCTCTCAACTTTCGTTATCCCTCACTGATTAAGTCGCAAAGGTATTTTTTGTTCCCAATTGCGTTATACCGACCATTTAATAATATCTCATTATACAAAAGGTAGTCGAGTCGATGAGTGCTCCACTGAATTAGCGCTGCAATGCTGTTTCATGTATTGTATCTGGCTCACAATGGTGAGTAGTGTTATTTTTATATAAATCAATGCAGCAGAACTAAATAAATGGTCTTTTTAATTCTATCTATTCTCCTTAACTGGCCAAACTCTGCACTTAAATCACCAACAATGCAACTTAACCACAGACAGCTCAGCAATATTTTTCTGGTGTTATGCTAGCTGCTAATGTAGCTTTGAGCCACTTGCCACTATTATTTTCTAAGAGGTTGAGTAAGCAAACAGTTTTCTGAATCAAAAGGTCCAATAACATCAGCAATAATTAGCAAACCATTCAACAGGCAACCAGGACATCCTTTAACACTTCTGATAATGTTTTTCATTGTTTGACCACTCACTGGTAATATCAACAGTAATGTGGAAAAAGAGACGTCTATTTTAAAACAGAAGTTCAACCCAGTTGGCCCGTTAATCCTTTTACTCTCAACCTGGGACAATTACATACAATAAAACATGTTGGCCGTTATAACCAGGATGTAAAATGCTGACATAATAACAACAACTCCGTGGCACTTCAAGACAGATTTTATTAAACCAAAGAGGATGTCTCTGTCTTCTGCCTTTCTATTCATTTTCTTGTTTCATAAAACCAGATCAAAAGGTTTCTTATTCTTAACGGTTATAATTGAATGCCTCTGCAGCACTCTTTTAGATAATTAAAAAATATATAACTACAGCCTGTTAGAGGTTTTTATGAATCGTATTTGCTTTAGTCTGAACAGATAATCCTTTCAATAGATGCTGCTTTATGTAACCTTCCCAACTTAATTGAGTAAAACAATTAAATGTAATAGTTTTACAATAAATGTTCAAGGAAAATTAAAATCTCTTTTCAGTACGCCGTCTTCTCTAGCGAAATTACTATTCCAGGTCATCTGAACTACACTATTTTAAAGAGTGTTCATATTTGTATTTTGTGCCTCTACTGTGACATGTTTCCATATATTTTAATGTTAAAAAGTTATTTATTTTTCTCATACTGCCTGTGCTGCTGCACCTCTTTTCACCCTCTGTCTGAAACCAGAGCCCAGTCTGCTCTGATTGGTTAGCCGGCTGGCTCTGATTGGTCAACCGCTTAGAGATCTCCCGCCTCTTAGCCTATCACGTTCAATGTGTTGGAGCGCTAGCCAATAGAAGAGCAAGTGTTACATAGTGATGTCATTATGTCACAAAATATGGAGTCCAATGCAGGCGTTTCAGGCAGGGAGAGAAAGTGCTCTGGAGGGAACTTTGGGATTTAAGCCTTCACAGACCATTCACACAAACGATATAACACACTACAAGAAAGGGGAAACCCCCAAAAATCGTAATAGAGCCCCTTTATTTAAATTAATCTTCATCATGGGTCAATGCAATAATGAACGTACAAGAACACAATAAAAAGACTATATCCATCCCAACAGTGAGTNCCCAGCCGACCAACCTTAAGGAGGGGCTGCCCTAGCATATTGTTGATGTTGCCAGTTTGTGACCGGGCAACTCTCGGTTAGAGATAGTTATTGCCCACAACAATAACTATCTCTAACCGAGAGTTGCCCGGTCACAAACTGGCAACATCAACAATATGCTAGGGCAGCCCCTCCTTAAGGTTGGTCGGCTGGGTCAGAGGGCGAAGGAGGACATGCAGGGCAAATTATTCCCCAACAGTAATGACTATGGAGCCTTGTTGTGAAAGATTGCTTATTTCAAAGTTGTCTCATTGAAAGAAAATAGGTTACATTTCCTCAGAAAGTCAGACTGATTGCCTTAAAGGTGAAGGTTAAGATATAATTAAAGGTGGGGTAGGTAAGTTTGAGAAACCGGCTCGAGATACACTTTTTGCTATATTCCATGGAATGCTCTTAACATCCCGATAGCAATGAATATCTGAAGTGCTTTGACAAAAAATCCATAACAAAATTTCATCAGTGGAAGCCGTAGCACTGTAAAAAGCACGACCAATCATCTGAGCTGGCCCGGCTAAAATAACTGGATGGCCTACCTGCCTGTCAGCCTTCCATCTGTGCACAAACTTATCTCGTGCCCTCATTGGTCATGTGCGCGTTCGTGTATGTTGGAGGAGGGGCTCTGTAAGGAAGTGGCAGATTTTTTCTATTCTAGCGCACTCGAGCCGGTTTCTCCAAAATGACCTACCCCACCTTTAATGTGCATGAACAAGTGATAAAGTGGAGCTTCTCAGCATCTGGAAATAGAACAGTCTCTCAGTTTCCACTCCTTCTTTCTTTAATCTCTGTACGTTTATAATCAGATTCATAAATTCCCAGGATACGCAACTTTCAACTAGCGCGTACAAGTCTTTAGCTCTATTCACACTGTAACCCTGAAATGATCCAATCATTGCAGGCAGAGCAGTATGTAAGGACACAAATGTCAGAAAATGTTGGACCGGACATTGAGCAGACTTTACTTTTAATGTCCACTTGAGCTCATCTTTGAATAGAGCCGCTCATTGTTTGCAGAATTTACAATATGCGAGTTACCAGGTTTCCATGTTGCATCACACTCTACCTAGTAACCAAAATCAAACGGAGTAGAGAGTGAGAACACATCTGACACATATAATGGCCTTTTTGTGTGCTAGATCTGTGGAAAAGGAAACTCTGGACAATAACTGGACCTGAATCTCCAGAAATAATCAAGAGATCATATGAGAAGACAACACTCTTGTTCATTATCACCACCCTGCCGAATTTGTTATGCATCTTTTTATTGACTTTGTATGCAGCCATCCTGCCTTTAAAATAGATTTTGCATTCAGTCTGACGGACCACAGTCTTGTATCCTTTCTGTTCAGACATTCTCTATCTGTGAGTGTCAGCACTTTATTGAAGCTACAGTATACAGTATCACACATATTCAATGACATGTAAAAGTCCAAAACGTAATTGAAATTGAACAAATACAATGCTTGTCCAAACAAAATCTGTAACAATGATCTGAAGAGTAATCAAAGAGTTGCACACAATGGCAGGATTGCAAGGGTGCAAATTAAATCAGTGAATGTTTAAACCTAACGCCAAAACAAAGTATGATATAGTATATATCATGTGCAGTTGTGTCGAGTTATGCACTTGCCAGACCAGGTCCCAGGATGCAGTGGGCTGACCCTCCATCTCCTCTGTCAGTGTGTCTGTATGTCACCATTTACACACTGACGCACCACGACAGGCCTGCCGACTGTCCCAGCAGCAAAAATAGAAACACAGACACATGTAGAGACGGAACCTCAGCCCTCCTTCCTCTATTATAAATGTTGTTGGTGCACCTGTGAAACCTGGAGCTCCCACACATCTTCAGAGCCTGAACCTCCCACTTCCTCCATCTGCTGTGCGCTGTAGTGGAAACTACAGCGCTGCCCAAAAAAGACTTCCCAATCAATCATTGGACTGGTTCTTTCTTTCTATATGCAAATCAGTGTGTGTGTGTGTGTGTGTGTGTGTGTGTGTGTGTGTGTTTTGTTGATCCACATCCAAGTTATGAAAAAATAACAGAGAAACAGTGCAAGTCATCACAGTCCAACACTTCAGAAAATAAATGAAACAAATTAATTAATTAATAACAATAATTACAGAGGCCCTATTCTGGTTTTTGGGGGTTCCTTTTCCTGTAGTGTGTAATATAGCTTGTTATGCTTGTAGATGGTCTGCAACTGCCAAAAACCCTCCAAAGGGAGTTTCTCTCCAAAACACCCCCCCCCGCCTGAAACGCCTTGATTGGACTCCTTTGTGTACTTCCCCAACATAGTGACATCACTGCAGGCTTTTACTGGCTAGCGCTCCAACACATTGCATTGTACACTAAGGGGCGGGACATCTCTAAGCGGTTGACCAATCACAGCAGAGCCAGCCAGCTAACCAATCAGAGCAGACTAGGCTCTGGTTTCAGACGGAGGTTTGAAAAGAGGTGCTGCAGCACAGACAGTATGAGAAAAATAAAGACCTTTTTGAACATTAAAGCATGGAGACATATCACAGTAGAGGCACAACATACAGAACCTGAAAATGAGCTTGATATCTCCTCTTTAAACAGGAAATCTGACTCCTTGAAAAAAAATCCATGCGCACAGAACCAGTGTTAGCACACACACTTTGTACGATGGATTTATGAGCTGTTACAACATACTTTAAATGGTAGGATTTAATAAAGCGCTTGTGATCTGGAGTCTTCTATCGTGCATTACAAGGAGTGCAGGTAATCCCATTGTTCCTACTAAATTACCTGACTCCGCACTCTGATGCAGTTTGCAACGATGAGATCGAAGCTCACTCTAACTTTGCTCCGTTCTCATCGTCTGGCTCGATCAGACGGTGGTAGAATAAAGCAGCAGAGTCTCTCTTGCCCTCAGGCAGCTGACCAAACACTTCTGATGAATATGTGGTGTTGTGTTGCATACTGATGAGAGACTCTGAACTTCAGTGCAACGGCCGCGGGTCCTCTGGGAAACGCAGGCCGGCTCTGAGGCAGAAACATTATTGATCTTAAGTTAAGTGTTCTTCAACATCCTTATGAGATTTAAACCCAGAGCGAAACTGCAGCTAACTAGTGGCTGCAGAGAGGCAATACTATATGCTGCCACCTTAAGCTCTGTTTTATTGTTTTCTAATAGATAAACTGCAGATCTTCTTTGTGGTTTGTGGCCATGTGATTTCAGTGTGGCAATTGCTTCTCTCACGCTTTTCTCTCTCTTGGGTTGCTATTGCTGTGGGGGAAATAATTAAATCAATGCTATTATTCTAGTTCTAGTATTAAAACCCTTTAATGGTCTAAACCAGTGGTTCCCAACCTTTTTTCCCAAGAGCCCCCCCACACACACACACACAAGGGGGGGGCGGGGGCGCAACAGCGGTAATTAAAGTTTCACAGTCTCAAAAATGCTACAACTACTGTCACAAACTGGATTGAATGTGAAGTATTTTGTTAAAGGAGGATGAAAGCGTAATTAAGGAGCACTATTGGAGTGACTTTGATGGTTATTGGACTCAGGATTAATTCATTTGGATGACTGAAGAAATTAAAGGAGGGCGCAAGTGGAAACAATTCACAAAGGGATTAAACTGTTTAAAACACATGCTCAAAGTAAACCGGATTTTGACGATGTGTTTATGTGGATTCAAAAGTCGTAAATAAATCGTAAATAATCTACAAAATGGAGGAGACCGATCTGATCGGAGCAACTGTGACAAATAATCCAACTGAAACCAGCATGGACAATGACTATGTTTTAAAAATGCGCTTATCCAGAAAAGCCTGGTTTGGACACTTTACGGGCAGAAGAAACATTTATATTAAAGAAAGAATTATACATTTCTGTCTTTTAATGCCTTTAATAGCTACTAACTTGAATTTGTATTCAAATTAATTCATCAATTATTTTAATATTTTATTGTAATGTAGAGACAAGGTTTTTAGTGACAATCATTTATTGCTTTACAATTATATGTATAAAAAAAAAAAAAAAAAAAGTCTAAATATGATATATATGCGAGCCCCCCAGGTTGGGAACCACTGGTCCAAACATCATGGGATTGAGAAATAAAATAACCTGCTATTGAGATAAATGGCTTTAGTTCACTGAATGTGAATGCATTGTGATTTTTATTTATTTATAAAGTTCCACATTGTGCAAATATGTAAACTTTAGCATCTCATAAATATAAATAGTACAATCTAGGAAACTGAGTACTGTAAATGTCTAGCAATCATTCTGAAATGTCAGGTGAGCATGTGTTAAATGTTTCACCATACATTATTCAAAAATGCAGTCCAATCTTAGTTTTTATATGAGCGCTGAGTTGGCTGTAGTAATTGGGCTTTAAACACCGATTTATTGAGTTGAATTAGTAAAACTACAACACATTTCAGATTCGACAAAGCGTGGTTTAAATATTACCTACTGTCATCACATCACGCTGCAGATAACCGGAACTATTAATGAGCTTTATGTCAGGCTGTTTCCTTATGGCTTCATTGGAATTAGTCTGCAATGACAGTCGCTGAGAGATTCAGATTCTTTTTTTTTAAGTGTGTGAATAGCTGCACTTAATCTACCAACAAGAATGTTTTCGAGCTTCTATACAAGTTATATATCTAGATGTAGATCTCTCTTAATCTGCTGAAGTAACTAAATGTCACTGTGTCCTGATTTTAACAACACATCTGAAATATTTGTATCCATTACAGACCAGTTGAAGCCCCTCATGTGCGATTAATCAGGGTTAGATCTGTGAAGCTGGCCCCATAACATATCTACAGTCCTTTTGACAAATGGTGTTTACACTTAGCAACCCAAACCAACTTCCCAGTGAAATTAAACTCCATTCATCACCTGCTTACAGCTTCCTCAGATGCACAGCGTGTATAGATCACAACCTCCTTATTTGGTCCAATTTCTAATTCAACATATATTTATAAAACAATAAAATAGAGCACAAGTTGATCTGTCGTAATAGCTCAGAAGCTCAGGTCTCCATTAGGCAATGCAATGATTTATATTGTGATGTGTATCAACCATTTAAATCATTATTTATATATTATACATCTCACCACATGAAGAAATGTCGTCGTAAATATAATCTTAGGTAATAACAAGACTACAATGTTTCAGTCCACATTGTGAACTGTGATCTAAAAGTGAAACCTAAACAAACAGTGTATTGCACAGTGTCTGATAGGACCTTGGAGAAGAGTTCGCCAAGATCATCTTGTCAGCTTCCATTCAGTGCATTGAGGTTTGTTATTTGATTTCACCATCAGGACAGATGGCTCTCCTGGAGCTGTTTTCCACGCCTTGTGTATGTGTGCTTGCTCATCCAGTCTACACATGCTCTGTGGACTTTTGAAAGGCAGTATCTAATCATCTGTTTTTTATGACAGTATCTCCTGAGGAATAGCTGAGGGAAGATAGGGTGGCGGGGCTCATGCTACGAGCCATCCGGAGCTTGTTACCAGAGGAAAATATGTACTCAGAAGATCAGGCAAAGAATTCTGGGTAAGTCCCACAAGATAGACCTGGGAAATTGAAAAGAGCTGTAAAGCGGCTGAAGTGGTTGTTGCAGTAGTAGACACATCAGTTGTTAGGCTTGTGGTGGTTGTAATAGTCACAGCAGTATCAGTAAACATCTGTGTGCATCTGCATGCGTCCATATTTAGGTATGTTTTTATTTATGAAATATGATATGTTTTTGACAAGACTCGTGTAATGGCATGGGGATGTGAGAAGCGGGCAGAAGTGGTATTAGCCACAGTGATTCATGGGTAAATGAGATTATTGCAGTCCTCCTGTCAGAGAGAGAGGAATGTATTAAACAAGCAGAGGACCTTAAGTGCTTTATGGAAGCACGCGCAGGGTTTCATCGCAGCTATAATAAAAGTGATAAATGGAAATTACCCAGACTGGGGCCAAATGATCACTGTGGTCCTTAGTGGAGCGGCAGCACACCTCGCTCAGGCCTGGACAAGCCTTGCGTCAGATTAATTATTGAGAGGGGTTCTATATCAGCTTGGGAAACACCACATCAATAAATGATGGTGTCATTTTAAACTAGAAGATGAAAATTGCAACAACTGAGCGAACGGTCCTAAAAGGTTACCGCTTCTACGCTAGGTAGTTCTCTAAGCTCCTGGGTAGCAGGTGACTAAGTGGAGGAAAATGGTTTCCTTGTCCTAACCTAAACAACGACAGCTTCTTTGGCGCCCAACTGCATTTTTGATCTATATGTATTTCAGTTCCTCACTGCGTGATCTTTATGCTGATTTTGACCGTTGCAAAAAGTGTTGCCTCCAAGGCTGCATCAGCAAAGCCTGAAAATGGCTTACTGTAATCTCATGATATGGTAATATGTACTTTGCATACTCATAGAAGAGAAAGACCGTAGTGGATGTGACTGTCAGTGATCAGCTGATTATCTCTCAACAAACCTTCTCAAACAAACTAATGGGAGCAATATATCAGTTATATTACAATGTCATCTGCAGACAGCTCGAGTATTATTCAGGCCCATTGTGTAAACATTTTGTCTAATTTCAAAGTAATGAACAAATGCTATGCCAACAACATAATGATGAATAGTAGGCCATTTGTAAAAGAAAATGCACTACAGCCTAAGGGTCTCATTGGGTGTCTCGGTATAATTAGCTAAACATGCAGGAAAATTCTAGTCTTTTTAAAGACTGGGAACAAACTATTTTCACTGGTAATTCTTTGAGGATGATTCATAATTATAGATTAGACTCACTCCTCTCAATGTAATTCCAGAAAACTGTATATGAGCCGATCTTTATTTGGCGGGCAGAGACATTACTTTAGACTTGGCTGTATATATGGTGGTGATTATTTCTTGCAACTCAGCATGGTGGCTACAGTATATTACATGTCCCCGGATTTAACCTCAACATAACTCAAGAAACATCTAATGCTGTGAGAATATCTGTTTTATGTTCCTGGGCTTTTGCACTGTAATCACTTTTATTGTACTTTCAAGTATTTTCACTCTTGAGCAGAACTTCAAAGCAGTAACATTGTAATAGCATTTTGTTTATACTTAAGGATGCAAACATTGGAGTCATAGTGTTACGGTAGAGCGAAGGAAGCAGGACCCAAATGCAGATTAAACTGATTATACCTTTATTTCAAGGATAACGAATAGAACTTGGACAAACAGAACACTCACCGGTGAACACAGTCAACAACAAAAGACGAACCAAGACTGAACACAGGAAGAGACAAGACTAAATACAGAGAGGGGTAATCACAGGACGAGAAACAGCCGGGCAGGGGAAGAGAAACACAAGGGCAACAGGTGAACACAATCAGACAATTAGACACACCAGGGAAACTAACGACAGGGAGGGAAAACACAGGAAGAAGGACCAAACAATATACACGGAGGAAAACACCCATAACCAGACATACAAAACTAAAAACGTGACACAACATGAGAATCGTGACACATAGTGTGTGTCTGATTCCAGATCAAAGATGTTTGCAAAGCATACATATAATAGTTTCTTAAAGGAATTAACATTTTGGAAATATGTTTTAATTCACTTCCCTGTTGAGAGTTAGATGGAGCCATGGACCCAGAGGCAGGAAGTGATGAGCTTATTTGAGCTTAGCATAAAGATTGGAAATGTTTTTGCAATCTTATGTTAAGTGTGTTAATCAAGGAGCTAAGAAGTGTTGGTAGATATCTTTTCTAACTTTGTACTGAGTGACTAGTTTCCTTCTGCTTTATTGTTCATGCTAAGCTAACGTCTGTTTCTAGCTCCATAGTTAGCACAAAGGCACGGGAATGATATGTGTTCTTCATAGTTGTATACAACAAAGTGAATATTTGTTTTTATTCACAGGTTGAACTACTACTTCAAAGATTAAGGACAAGAAAGTAAGGATTACACTTCTTTTCTAATATTACCACAAGATAGTTTCTCTCCCTTAGCAGAATAGCACATTATATAACTTCAAACATCCAAGTAAAGACAAAATCCCCTATGAGGAAAGTAGCTTCTCAATTTATAATGAAATCCCAACTCAAGGGAAAACAACATGCTTTCAGGTATGACATTACTTGACTAAACAGATAGCCCTATTTATCTTCCCTCACATGCCTGTAAACACTCCCTTAGGTACAAGACAGAAAGACAGTGATCCTCTTGAAAAGATGTTCGCTGTCAGCAGGCTGACATCTCACTGCTGTTGGTCTCAGAGATGCTGCTCTGCCTTTACAGTCAGCTCAGTTGAGTACATTATTTCCTGTTTAGATAGCAGCTCACAGTCCTTGGAGCTCCATTAAAGATATGCCACGATAGAGAAGTGTCCCTGAGAGAAACCCATTAGAGTTATGGGGGCAACCATACTCCTAACTGCTTTCACGCTATAACTGAAGAGACAGGAGAAAGCAATAAAATGGAAAAAGGAAGAGGGGAAAAATGATAAAGGATAAGAGAAAGCCAGAGTACAAAAAGGAAGGCAGCACAGGGTGTCTTGGTGCTCCAGTTGAGAAGTCTCTCAGGCTTTTCTCCAGGAAAAGGGCAGTGATGTGAACGACATCAAAAGAAGCCAAACCCCTGAGCACCTGTTCTTTATGTCCTTCCTTTAACCCCCGGCTCAAGGGACTGAGAACGCTCTAACAAAGAGTCCTTGAAGAGTCTTAAACTTCAGATGACATTTAGGTATTTTCTCGACATGCTTTGTTTCCTATTACATTATATTACATGTCATTAAGCTTACACTTTTTTCCAAAGCAACGTCCAATTAAACATGAAGTTACAAACTCAGAATAAGTAATCCTTATGATTACATAAGTTTGGCTTATTCAAATAAGCTAATGATTTTTAAGTGATACTCAGATATTAGTTATTTATTTTTCTTATTGGCAGTATAAACAGGAAATATCTGTGGACTTTCTGTTGTGCTGATATCACATATTTATTGTATCTTTGTATATCTTGCTTGCTTTAGCTGCCTTCTGGTGATTTCCAAACAAAACACGAGTACTTTCATTACAATAAATTGCCAGTCATACCCAAATGGAAAGCTAGGCCATTGCACAGCATGAAACATTGTCAAAGTCTACAGTAAGTCATGTTTACTCCTGGACTCCGATCAACTATAAGCAAACAGATGTAAAATTGCACTGACATTACTGGTATTGCTCATATTTCTGTTGACTTTACATCCAAACATTCTGACAACACATTCAAATCCAGGGCTTACTGTCAAGAAATAAAATCAAAAGTTAATGATGTGTACAAATCTTGAGCAAAAATCAGAAGAGAGCAAGCGTCTTTCACTCGTACGTTAATGGTCTGAACAATAAAAGAAACTGGAAATCAATTCAAAAAAAGAAAGAGTATTCAGACCAGGACAATGTTTCAAAGTCAAGTGGGTGTGCAGCTGAATGTTTGCTCCGCAGAGAAAGGTAAGAGCTGGCACTGAATCTGGCTTTCAAACAAAGACTGCAGCAATGCACATTTTCTCTGCACACTCATATTTAAACCTTTACAAACAATACATTTTTGAAGGTATGCCAACTAAAACACTGCATTGTTCTACAGCACTTTGTTTTGAGTTAACATCAGATGACTTATAAAAGTGTTCAGTGTTTCTTGCCCCAAGCATAGACACATATCTTTACCTGTACTGGTTTATGTAACAGATGCGTCAGCGGTATTTGAGAATCCAGTTTTTGCCTAAACTTCTTTCTCTTGTATCTGTACAATATGACTGGTATGGCATGAATAGATACACCAAGGACAGAGCATACAGAATTATTAACAAGATAGCTAGCTGTAGAAGCACATATGCATGCATCTCCATGTGCATTGACTCGTATGTCATAGTAGGGAAATTAGAATATCTGCACCTTGTGTTATAGGCCACTCCCACTGTCAAGCACACACACCTTACCCCCCCCATTTCAAATTATATAGCCTATATTATATATTGCACGTCTCCTGTACATTTTCTGGTAACAACCGGGTGCAGCCAATAAGTTACAGTTTCTTATTTTTGTTGAAATTACATTTGTGAAATGTTGTTCGCTGTGCTTAAAGTTCACATTTTTCAACTTTGACCTAGTTTACTGCTGACCTTTCGACACGCAACCAATCACATAACAGCTGTATGAAGCAGCGCAAGCTATCAAGTCAGGTACCCATAGAAACAAAACTTTATTAGCTTGAATAGCTGTTAAAATGCTACAACCTTGCGATGAGTAAAGGGAAAATTGTGTATAATGTGAGCGTATATCATCCAAAGCTTTTTAGAAACCATTAACAAGCAAATGTGAGGTACAAGGACGACTTGTATTGAGTAGTTGAAAGCTAAGAAACTTAAATCAGTCTGTCCTCATCAAGAAATACTATTAACGGTCTAATTCTGGGAAATCGGCCTACAGTTTAGTTGTATTTATATTACAGATAAGTAATGATGTCATTGTCAGTTTCAAAAAGCAAGTGAGTCGACTCTGGCCTCAAGATGTAAGTGACGCATGATTTTTCACACATTAAAGTATTACTGTCATTCTTAGCCGAGCCTTTTAAGAAATGAGCGGACATTTTAAATTGGATCCACTAAACTGTGCCAGAAATCTAGAACATTGGTCATGATCACAGGAGACATCCTGCAAATAGAAAAGTAATGTTCTCCATGATTTCATTTATTAGTCAGAGGTCTTCTGCATGAGACTTTATTCTTAGAGCTTGGTTAGACCCAAAACTTCAATTGCAAACCTTCCTGTTGGCTCGATTAAAGCTAAGCATTTACATTTTTGACTGAACCGAATAACAGAATGGTAGGATAACAATATATCAAACCATGCTTTGTAACCAACTATTTTCCTTCAGTTGCATTACTGCAAATAGACTCCTTTAAACCTGCACTAGCTCCAATTAAAATCTCATTACAGCAGAGCTTGCTACAGGGCAGGCACACAGACTCACACAAAATGCTTAGTTATGTTGGAAGAATAATATTGTCTTGCATGCATAATGGGTGGACTGGTTTCTCGAGAAGCCTCTGTGATTCTGACAAATAGGAATGGTGCGGTGTTCAACAAAATAACAATTGAATGTGAACATTTCATTTCATATCATGTTGCATGATATGTGGTGTTTAAATAATGCATTTATTAACCTTATGGTCTATTTTAAATGAGAGGTTTGCTGGGAAAAAGGGGCGACTCAGCTTGTTGTTACCCTACAGCTTCTATATGGAATAGTAACTTAGAAAAATATGAACGGTGAGTTCTGAATCAGCATAACAACTGACAGAACTTCAAACAGGATCTACCTGTCAAAAATGTACAGATTAAAACCTTTTGATTAGCTTTGAAATCAGCAAATGACAAGTAATTCTCCTTAACGCACAAAACAATTACCAATTCAAAACAAATCACGATACAACAGCTGCTGTGTAGGACAGTGTAAATGTTTACACATGTAGAAATGACACAACTGGTTTGATTGACCCACAGCTTGGTGAGGCAGTAGTATATACATATGGTATAATGAAGTTTCTATAAGACACTTTTTAGTTTCTCAGAAAATAGAGGCTGTTTGAGTTAGTTGCTTTGTATCTTAGCATACTTTTTGTGACCTTTGGTTAAAAAATAATGATTCCCTTGATTTTCAATTCAAAAGCAGTATCAATGGAAACAATAGTGTTGATGGTGCTAATGCTAACCATACAATACAAAGTGGCAAATAAGTGGTTTGAAAGCGGAGGGTTTTCTAATGGAGGTAAATGCCCTCAGGTCACATAACCAACAACTACTCAGCTTCTTAGGCCGGATAATGGCAGTCCATAATACAAGATTAACTGAAAGAGCACTGCTAACATTTAAGTTGTTATTACTTGGCTGAGCAACCAGTTCACACACCATGAAAAGGTAAGTGGTCAGATTTCCTCTGCAAGATTGTGGATGAATCAGATATTGAACAATGCTACAAAAAGTATTGGTGAAAGAGACATTTTACTTAAGTGTAGAAATAGAAGTCCTTGCACTCAAGATATTACTTAGTGAAAACACAACATTATTAACATTAGAATATACCTAAAGTAAAAGCACTTTTTAATGCATAAGGGCTAATACAGTCACAGTGATGATGATCATAATGATATATATTACAGGATTATAATCATTGATGCATTCATGTGAAAACCAGTGTAATGTCCCAGATGGTAAAAGCAGATCATTACTTTAAAGTGATTTACTTTATAGCATCTTTCTAGAAAAGAAAGGATGGAAATGATTTCCCTCAGAGGCGTACCTTGCGAACAGGCAAGGCAGGCAACTGCTTGGGGCCCCGGACCAGAAGGGGCCCCCCAAAGAAGGTATACAGGGTTCCTACACTTTTCCATCAATGATTTTCAATGACTTTCCCATGACCTTTACCTAATTTTCCATGACCAAAAAAATGACTCGGAATGTTTTTTTTTAACATGGAACAGGAAAATAAGGTCTGCATATGAAACATGTTATGCCTATCTAAACAGTTAAATGCCATTTTACTTTTCATTACTATACGATACAGTATTTATTATCATTATAGTATTACTATTTCGGCGATTAGCTAAAATATAAATTATATTTGATGCAACTTTAGTTCAATTTCCATGACTTTTCCAAAACTTTGGGAAAAATATGGTTTTCCATAACTTTTCCAGGGCCTGGAATTAGCATTTTTAATTTCCATGACTTTTCCAGGTCTTTAATGACCGTAAGAACCCTGGGTATATTAAGAAGGTCCACAGCAACGACAACATGAAACACCCTTTAATTTACTGCAACGACATTTCGAGAAACCCCCTCAAGGCGGCCCCATGCATAACGCGCCGTAAAATGTTGCTTCTCATCGAGGGGCCCCCAGTGAATGTTTGCCTAGGGCCCCCCACCGACTCTAGGATCCCCACTGATTCCCCTCAATCATCAAGTATGACCTACCTTCTGGAATAAAGTACAGAAGGAGCTGAAACTGTCAGATTGTATCACTATGGGGGAATTCAAGTCCATCTTAAAAGGACAGAGAACAATAATCCATTGTTTCTTTCATTTGCATATTGACTGGATAATGTGCCATTTAATTTGTGTTTTACGACCACTGTCTGCTTTTATTGTCTGTTTTTTATCTGTTGTAACTTTGTTCATGCTGCCCTTCTTGGCCAGGTCGCTCTTGAAAAAGAGATTTTAATCTCAATGAGACTTTGTACCTGGTTAAATAAAGGATATATACAGTTGCAAGAAAAAGTATATGAACCCTTTGGAACTACCTGGATTTCTGCATAAATTGGTCATAAAATGTGTTCTGATCTTCATCTAAGTCACAACAATAGACAAACACAGTCTGCTTAAGCTAAAACCACACAAACAATTATATGTTTTTATGTTTTTATTGAACACACCATGTAAACATTCACAGTACAGGGTGGAAAAAGTATGTGAACCCTTGGATTTAATAACTAGGTTGATCCTCCTTTGGCAGCAATAACCTCAACCAAACGTTTCCTAATAG